TGCACCAAAAGCTCCTCATATTGAGCCTACAGTATCACCACCACCACAGTCTACCTCCCTTCACTCTAGACAGTTCAACCAACCTTCACCGACACTACCCTTCCCTACAGCCACATGCCTGATGCCGTAAAGCTTTTGGAGTCTGTTGAACACGCTATTACAGAGACAGGACTTACGAGATTTTTTCGGATTGGCGAAAAGGGACTTTCACAGTTCACATATAACTTTGATTTATGTATATCGATAACATCATTGCTATATTAAATGCTGAAGTAGAACCAGAACGCACAAGAGCGGTGAAGAAAACGAGGGTTGACATTGGTGATGGTGGGAACAAGGAAGGATTCAACAAAAGTGTTCATCAACTAGGGGACAAGGACCATCCGAAAGACAGTGACGAGGGAGATAACAGCGGCGACGAAGATAATGTGCTTGAGGAAAAGGTTGAGTGCGATCTCATCCGAATCAACGCAAGAAAGCATTAGTGCACCTTCCCCATCTTCGACTCCCTGTGCCACCATACCCGACCACGTCGTCTGTCAATGACTACCTACTCATGAAGACTCAATATCCTTGCTTCCTTCAGACTCAATCCCACACCTAGAAATGCCAACGTGCATAATGGATTTGATCATGAAGGGCCAAAGACACGGGATGAAAGCGGAAGAGAAAAGACTGTCTCTGTTGGCGGAGTGTGTGTGCGGAGGAGGACGAAAGCGGAAGATAAGAGACTCTATTGGCGGAGTGTGTGCGTAGCATTGTGGTCTCCGAGATCGAGAGGAGCGAGGCAATGCAAACCTAATTCATGTGAAACTCGATGGTAAGACATGTCATCTACTCTAAAGATGACTTTACTCACCTGGTCCATCAAGTACCATCTACATCGCATAGGCCTAGAGCATAGAGTGAAGGGATGGATGTGCGAAGCCTGCGAGGCAAGCAAATGTGGTGGCGGAAAACCAAGTATCACTTGTCAAACCGGAATTTGGCCCGGTGATCCAATTACCTTATTTGGTATACTAGTAAGCATAGGATCACCCAGATCGCGCTTACAGCGCTTTCGGAAAATAATGGCACTGGCCCATTTTTTCGCCACGTCGCCAAACTCAATATCTGTCCTTTTTAGGTTGGGTAGGTCTCAGCTTCGTCGACGAAAAAGGCTAGCCCAAAAAGGGAATCGTCGAAACCAGCCTCTGAAAAAAAAAAACACGCGGTCATTATTTTCGCTGTAAGAAATATTTCCGATATGTTTTATTTTATTTTTGCACCCCTTGGCCTTGCGGACAACTTGACACCTCAAGTGATCAACATGCACTGCCTTCAAGTCGCACATAGATATCTATATCTATATATCTGATTGCCCCCGCATTCAAATTTGTCCCTTCACATTCAACTTGACGCACTCATGCTATACAAGATTGTCAACGCCAAATTCAGTGACAAGGTACTCGCACTGTCCGAACACGATAACGAGACGGGTACGTGTATTCCATTCTCACGTCTTATCATAGATATTCTTGACTCGAAACCATTCTTTCTTGGATTTAATCACTCGACTGGTCAAAACAACCAGATGGTGGGAGCTAATTCTATTGACCTGCCAGGCGACTGTGAAACTATATTTTAACAGTGGTCTATACACGATTACAATGGCCTCAGCGTCATAAAGAACGTAGGGACCGGGTTTCCTTTATACCTTGGCGAAGACAACGGGAGGATTATTGGCGTTAAGAGTATGTCAGAAGAACAAGCACCACGATGGGATGTTTGGCCAGTGGGTCGTTTTTCGAGGTCCGTCCATGATCCGGTGATACTACCCGGCGCTGACAGCTCGACTGTAGAATTCTTCTCGGAAGCTTGTTTTTGGAGCTAAGGCGGAGAGATGTCACCAGACACTGCAAGGAGGTGGGGTTTGCGCCTGGAGAGTACGATGACGATGCCCAACTTTGGGAACTAGTCCCAGGTGTGCATTTTTCCCTTTTCCATCGTATTTATTGTTAACCAGTGGCAATTGTCTAGTCCGCGATTGCTGAGTCGCCGTCCATGGGTTCACATTGTATCATACTTAGTGTATATTAGTAACCTTTCAATTGGCAAAAATATCTGCTTAATACGATCAAGATACGACGATTCAAGCGATTTCAACACCACCATACTCGACGACGCTGAACATGCAGTCAGGTTACATCTAAATGACAGGACGGTAAGAAAGTTTGTGACATCTAATTTCATCCCTCGTGGCTTCTAAAGACTGATCTTTGATAGTAGCTAGTATACGCCTTGTTGAACCTCGACTGATGTGAAAACATGTCAGTTACCTACCGTCCAATGACGCCTCCACCGCGCACGAATTTGACCCAAGTAAGCTTAGACGCCAAGATACTTGTCGGTTTTCTCCTTTGTAGAGGGGTGGCTCTGGGTTCGTAGTTCAACGAGTGCTCTGCAATGCCTCCCTTACCTTGTACAGGCTGGACGCACGCTACGCAGGCACACTACCAGTGGTATCGTTTTCCCCAAAGTAGTATCTTTCTTGTGCCCTGCCCTGTTCCTTTGGAATTGTTATTGATAGAATGGTATAGCATCAAGTAGAAGTCTGCAACTGACGAGTTTACGAGCAGCAGAGCAGCAGAGCTGAAATATATCCGTACAATTACATGGTATCGTCGATGTGGACATCGTTCCATACCTTTTTTCCATTGATCATGTAACCCATGTTTCGTGATGGCGAATTTAGTACTTAATGACGGGCAGCTGGTCTACTCGAAGTCCCGGTGCCGATCTAGACTATCTTCCAGATGAGCGCTTTCTGCTAGTTGTGGTTGACAGGTCACTGAGCCTGACAAGGCGAAAAGAAGTGCCAAAATACAGAATGTCTGAGAACGTTCATGTGACAGAATTTAAGTAATGCCGGCGGCTCTTTCGAGCTTTTTATCCCACCAAAATGTCGTCTATGTGTATGATGCGGGAGATAAAGAAGGCCTAGGCCCGATAAAAGTCATGTCATTCGTTTCGATCGAAGATCCCAAGATCACATCACCAAATTGTCAAAATCCGCAACATCTTTACGTTACGCATACTTGCGTCAATGCGTACAGCGTTCCGAGGTCTCCACGCATCAACTGTACCGCCCGATTCTCAATCTAGAATGGTCTCGATGTGCCCTTTAGATGCCGAAGTCGGGTGAGTCGTTTGATGTGTATTACCCATAGGTCGTAAGCAGGACAACGATGTATGGTTTTCACACATAAGACTCGTTACCTTAGTCATCCTAACGGTTGTTTGAAAAGAGAGCAGAGCCAACAAGTTCAACATCTACCGAACGGTGCGGTTGAGTGATGTTAAGAGATTCTGTATCTCAGACCGTGTCGAATGCGTAGGCAAAGTATCATTAGCAAGGATATGGTTTCAGCAGCCTTGTGTCTGGTATTTTTTCAGGGTCTTAGGGCGCTCGAATAGTTCGCTTGTGGATATGTTGTCACATTAGGCCTCTCCACCAAGGAGTCATCGATCATCATCTGTGGGTGATCCAACCACGATGTCAACACAAACAGATAAGGACGGTAATATACAACTGCAGTAGTCAGTGACATCAGTCGATCAGAGATCTTGGATACGAAGATCTGTAGAGTCCATCAGCCGCCATTAATACTTAGAGAAACCCCCGAAGATTCAAAATGAAGACGGAGACAAAAGGTGATCAACCCTTCGAAGATTTAGCCTCGGCCTTTCCGGAGATCACAACCTGACATAATCTCCAAAACAGGCATTTAATTCTCAGCCTGTAACAAATCTCCTCATTTCCAACCGCCATGTCTGGAACTACCCGCCCAGTCGTTTTCATGGATATCAACATCGGAGAAACTCCTGCAGGACGGTTAAAAATGGAGCTCCACAGCGACATCGTTCCAAAGTGGGTTTGTGCATGCCGTTCAAGCTATCTATGTCTATCATGTTCACGATCCAATCAGGACCGCAGAGAACTTCAGACAATTGTGTACGGGAGAGTACAGGTAGGACACTGTTTATGGGGTTTTCTGCAATATCGAATCTCATATGTAGTGAACTGCAGGGTTAATTCACGGCCCCAGGGCTATAAGGGCGCAACCTTCCATAGGTGCGTCGTGTTTCATTCAATAAATCCACTTTCACGAACTATTAGAGCAGAGTGTAAGATTCTGCAAGGAATTTGATATTTTCGGTCACTTGAAAATCTTACAGGGTGCCGAATTTCATGTGTCAGGGCGGCGATTTCGTGAAGGGCGACGGAACTGGGTCTTTCTCCATCTACGGAGACAAATTTCCGGTGCGCCCCCTTCCTATACCAGAATCAATCGATACATTGACGATTGGACCATAGGATGAAAATTTCAAGGAAAAACACACAGGACCTGGGCTACTGTCGATGGTGTGCTCTCTCGCTCGGACCTTTTCTACCAAGCTTTACCAGCTTGTAGGCTAACTCTGGCCCAAACACGAACGGATGCCAGTTTTTTATTACAACTGCAAAATGCGACTTTCTCGATAGCAAACATGTCGTTTTCGGTCACGTAATTGACGGCATGCTCACTCTCCGAAAGATCGAGAACGTAGCTACTGGCCCTAATAATCGACCGAAGCTTGTCGTTAAGATTACTGGTGCGCTGTATAATGTCTCAAGTCACAATACAACTAACAATCCTCAAACAGAATGTGGTGAAATGTGATGATAGCATTGTGAAGGAAGCTCCAGAGACGCAGTCTCTCGTGGAACCGCAGGGGGTCCTTTGGGAAAGCCGCTTCCATTGTCTGTGGTCTAGTTCGAATCGATGCTAAGAATACAGACCTGGACCTCCAAACGGTCTCATATTACGATAGCTAATAGCACCTTACTGTAAATACGTGTTCAGAGAATCAAATCTAATAGTGCGGATTTGTCACCGTCGTGTTGGTTGACTCCGAGTCGGAATCAAATGGCAGGGAAAATGTGTCTGCAAAAAAAAAAAAATTAGAAAGATATTCTCTTCGCCTGGGAGTCGAACCCAGCTTTCGCGCGGTCACAGGTTAAACAATGACAGGCGCGTGTACTCACCGATATACTAGCGAAGACATTTAATACAGTTGGAAATGATGCAACTTGAACTTCTCTGACGGTGGCGCTTTAGGGTGGGGATAAAACTCAGGCATTGTCGAGGTAAATCTTCCGATGTATTTTTATACGATCTTATCTGGGAACTTTTGGAACATCAAGCGGCGGTTGCTGGGTCTTCTAACTTCTGACCGAACGTGCGTCACCGCCTGTCGCGAGTTTCTGATTTTTTAGTTTTCCACAATTGTCCCACAAAGCTAAAAGTCTCACACCTGCCTCAGCCTTTGGGCCCTCTATTTCATAAGCCATTCCATTTATCGGAACTGTACTAGCGCCCTGAACTCAACGAGATGGGAACCCTTATCAAGCCTGGCCGGTCATGCTCCAGGCTCCGCGAGGATTTCCTTCTCATTGTCGCAACATTGTCGAACAGGCACTTCACTCACACCTTGGTTACATTCTTTTTTGCTTCTATGTTCAATGCATAGTCATTGTGATCCTACGTGTTCCACCTTCAATTCCTCTCCCTAATTGACTACCATTAATAGGTGAGTGACCAAGACGGGCCGCATTTTCCCCCTGTTTGTTCTTAATCTCACGATGTCCAAGAGCCTTCTACATCTACCGAAGCTTCTGCCAGTGCGTATTGCGGCTACTCAGGGGGGGGTAGTACCCTCATTTCCAAGGAACAAGGAAGAAAGAGAGGGTGTGAGTTGTAGCCTTGTGACTATTCAAGATCTTGACTTCCATCGTAGCGTACTACGGTCAGGTCGAGGTGCTACAAAACTTTATCAGCATGTTCCCACCGAAATACATACGGTGAGAAGGTCCGGCTCGGAGCTATCTGACATTTTGACTGAATGATTGGTAATTCCTTACAATTGGTCACAAGGCAGATATTCACCAACTACTTCATGTATCTCGAGTACTCGATGCCATTAATCTTCGTTCGGTGATATATAATTCTCTCGCCAAGGTACCCGCATGAACGTACCACCGACAGTAAGATGTAGCATCGTGCTCGCCTCGATTCGTCCACCAACGCCACCACTACCGTGATAATCACCTTGGAAGGTCCTCTCATGTTCGATCTCACGCTGCGCCGTTCTATATCGGCTTAAACCATCTACTCCAAGCTTTTTACCGCGTGAAAACTGCTTCTTACCACATCGTTTGTATCAGTTGACCCATTCTTGTCTTTCGAGGATGCTTCTTCCCGCCTCAAAGCAATAGTACGAAGTTCCTGGACGTGTGAAGCTTCATCTCCAACTTGATAGACTCAATTGAATGGTATTATTATCGTAATAGGTAGAGGCCATCTGACGCTCCTATTTGTCCATTTGTTGAAGAATTTCCCCAGATTTTTGTATAAAAAGCCATCGATCCAACGTGGATACTTTTTAACCGTCTCGTAAACTTGACCTCATAGTAATCTTATCGCAATGCACCCAGAGGAAGTCGATGTCATTGTTGCAGGAGGAGGCCCAGCCGGTAAGCATCGCGACGACATACCTATACACTGTCTCATGATATACCTCAGGATGCGTCGTTGCTGGAAGGCTTGCATACGCAGATCCCAACCTGAAAGTCATGCTCATCGAGGGTGGTGCCAACAACCGCGATGATCCATGGGTCTACAGGTGCGAATTCTCACCCGGTGGCAGAGCGTTGACTTGACGCAATGCCTGCATAGGCCTGGAATCTATGTGAGGAACATGCAGCAGGATGGAATGTAAAGCGATTCCTCCATAACGTCCACTACCTTCACATCAGCTCACCACCTTGTAAAGAAACGACAAGGCGAAATTCTACGTTGATACTAAAGATTCGGCTCATCTTCGTGGGAGAAGGAGCATTGTTCCGTAAGTCCTTATAGTCAAGGAGGAAGATCGAAGTACCTTACAGATGATTGAAATAGCTGCGCCAATATTTTGGGTATGTGCTAGAAAATCGAACGTGCATTTTACTTTACCCGCTAAAATCCGAACTTCCAAAGGTGGTGGAAGCAGGTACGTTAGATTACAGAAGTTTTCCGAGTGTTACCATTGAAATGCCGATTTAGTATCAATTTCCAAGTCCGTTCTCTTATTCTGATTTGACGTATCCACTCACTGTTCATGCTTCAGATGTATACCCGTGTGCGTTATCCTTCCCTTGATTCTTTTGGTAATCTCATCTTGTAAACTACAGGCTTCTGCGTCTGATTGGGGTACGTTGCCACATTCGGCGAGTGAAAAGCCACTATGAACTCCTGCGCACGATTAGACGACTTCAAGACCCCTGGCTGGACAGCAAAGGAGTTGCTTCCGCTCATGAAACGTGTCTGTAACTTTCACGATTTCCGCGGCTATAGTCATGCTCATTAATCGTCCCTATACAGCTCGAGAACTATCAGAAGCCAGTCAACAATGATACTCATGGCTACGATGGTCCCATCGCCATCAGCAATGGCGGATCGGTCACAGCTCTAGCTCAAGACTTCTTGAGGGCATCAGATGCGATCGGAGTTCCGTTCAGCGGTTCGTCCTCGAATTTGCTTCGGATAGCTCATCGTTTGACGTGGCTCTTTCGTTTACAGATGATATCCAAGGCAAGAGCTCAAGTCCTAAATGATTCATTGTCATTTATCTGTCAAATTCTAGATTTGGACACTGCGCATGCTTCAGAAATATGGGCGAAGTACATCAACAGACATACAGGCAGGCGTAGTGACGCCGCCACAGGTGCATTCAATAATATCTACTTCGGCGTGAAATCTTGTGCTTATTTTTACGATAGCCTACGTCCACAGTGTGATGGACGTTCAGAGTAACTTATATTTGCGTACTAATGCTCGAGTCTCTCGCGTCATCTTTGAGGGCACGAAGGCTGTGGGCGTTGCCTACGTTCCAGCTCGCAATCGTACGCATGGCGCTCAAATCAAAGAGACCATCGTGCGCGCCCGCAAGATGGTTGTCCTGAGCAGCGGGACTCTGGGAACCCCACAAATTTTGGAACGATCTGGTGTCGGGTCGCAAGGACTTCTGCAGAACTTGGATATCAAAGTTGTCAGTGACCTTCCAGGCGTGGGGTAAGTGCTATTCATTTCCCTGTGACAAGAGATCTCAGTAGAGAATGAAACAGAGAGCAGTACCAGGATCACTATACCACGCTCTCGGGTAAGTGCCCGTAATGATGGACCGTCTTCAATCTCAGCTGACAATTCTTTAGTCTACCGAGTGTCCAACGAATCGTTCACTCTCGACGACTTCCTTCGAGGCGACAAGGAAGTTCAGAAAGAGGTCAGTCCTATGCAACAAGTCTTCATTACCTCCTTTCTCCAACAAAGATCTCAGCTATTCGTGGAATGGGAGACCAGCCCGGAAAAGGCCAGACTTTCGTCCAATGCTATTGATGCAGGTTTCAAGGTTGGTAGGAGTTGGGTTCGTCTCAGACCGAATTGAACCTTCAGCATCGTTAGATACGTCCGACGGAGGAAGAACTCAAGGAAATGGGCCCCGAGTTTAACGAGCTTTGGAACAAGTACTTCAAGGACAAACCGGATAAGCCTGTCATGTATGTCGTACCTTTGATACCACACTCTTCTCGGCCTTAGACTAACCATTCAAATTTTCAGGTTCGGATCGATTGTCTCTGGAGGTGAAGTTGGTGCTGGGGATCATGAAATAGAGAATACTGATACACTCAATAGCATATGCCGATCATACTTTGCTGCCTCCCGGCAAATATATGACTATGTAGGTTCTTTAAGGCAATCTTCATTCAGATGACAGACTCATTGACGTATGCAGGTTCCAATATCTGGTATGTGTTTGATCCAAGGTAGAAGAAGTGATTTCATTATATTGGATTCTTGTAGGAATATCCCGCCAGTCGTGGAAAGGTTTCCTTTACCCTCTTTTCTCCTTTTCTCTTTCCTCAAGGCATTCTAGATTCACATCTCCTCCGCGAATCCGTACACGGAACCATTCTTTGACAGTGGGTTCATGAACAATAAGGCAGACTTTGCGCCTATCCGATGGAGCTACAAGAAGACGCGCGAGGTTGCTCGCAGGATGGATGGTACGTTGTACTAATACTGCCATATCCGCTCTCGTAGGATTAATCAAATACTAGCCTTCCGTGGTGAGCTTACATCGCACCATCCGCGCTTCCATCCCGCCTCGCCAGCAGCTGCACGTGATATCGACATCCAAACGGCCAAGCAGCTCCTCCCTAATGGATTTACAGTTGGTATTCATATGGGTAGGCCATTATGTGGATCCCATATCAATCTCTTAATAACATTGTCGGCCTTGCAGGCACTTGGCACAAGTGAGCACATTTCAGTCTTTTCAGCTTGAATATCAACTAAGGATCAATGATAGGCCAGGAGAGATATACAACGCAGCTAAAGTCCACGAGGACATCAAGTACTCTGCTGATGACGACAAGGCTATCGACGATTGGATCGCTGGTATGCTCAGGTCTGACCTCATTTTCAGTGATAGATACCTCACTATGACGAACAGATCACGTCGAAACTACTTGGCATTCGCTTGGTGAGATTTCTTTGCTTTAGCCGCACTTCTTTGCTATTTAACTGGAATTGATTGTGCAGGAACTTGCGGTACGTAATTCATCATCTTGTTTTAGTGAAAAAGCTCATAGAGATAGCCATGAAACCGAGGCAGGAGGGCGGCGTAGTCGACGGCCGGCTCAATGTCTATGGCACACAGAACCTGAAATGTGTCGACCTGAGCATTTGCCCTGTATGCATTCGATATTCCCCGTATATGTCAAGTTTGAGTGACGACGATCATACAGGATAACTTGGGCACAAACACCTATTCTTCGGCACTCCTGGTCGGTGAGAAGGGCGCTGATCTTATTCTTGAGGATCTCGGTTCGTGTCTTGTCTTTAGGGAAATTAGGTCCCTGCTGAAACATTCTACAGGGCTCAAAGTGAGACTCCCTCACGCACCTGTCCCTCATGCTCCGGTTCCAAAGGGGCTGCCCGCCACTCAACAAGTTCGCTGAA